CGGTCTAGTTTACAGTTTCATAATAACATATAAGCGAACAATATTATTGTTTTCGATTAGATCGTCATCAGGCTTTACTCTCTAATATACATGAATATTTAGATGAAAATGTTAGACCAATCAAGGCAGTTGGAGTGATAATCACAATGAAATGAATAAGGCAAAAGTACAACAAGTGGATAGTAGGAAGATAGGTGAACCGATAGTAGTAGGAAAATTTATAAAATATGATAACTAAACTAGGTCAAATGTGGATGAATAGAATTCAAATAATCATCAAAAGCATCAAAAACATTACGTAATAAGCAAATGTGTAAAAATAGAATAAAAATATAATGTCGATCGTTAGTTACGTCAGATCCGGCCACGGAATAGATAGGGGTGTCACGAATTTCTTCTGAACACATAAATTAGAGTTGAATGTACTTATTCCTATGGCTTCTGCTATATGTAGGAGACGGGATCGAACTCTGTTAGGAGATGGTGGAAGTATACGATATATCACCCGAAAAGATATAGGTTTATCTACAATGTGATCACTATCTACCAGGTGTGCTAAGATAGAACTGCGTATTGTTTTTGATTGACCCTTCGTAGAGCATGCTGGGAGATGTTCACTCATTCGTTGGTTAAGTTGCCTGGTAGTACACACGATATAGCTATCTCCACATGAGCAGCTGAATTTGTAAATGCACATTGAGGAGGAGGCCAACTCAGGTAACTTATCCTTCGTTTGGGTAGACATCGCTGGTTGACTGGACAATGTCAATGCAAGTTTGGCAGTGTTGAATGTTCCATTAATTGCTCATATTAATCTGTCCTGCAGAGTATCGCAGGCCACATCTCCATTGAATAATAGTATGTACGAAAACCTCTATACAGAAATATTATGCGACGTCTAGATCTGACGTTCGACCAAATGTGCTTCCATACCAGGAAAAAAGAGTGATGAACTACAGAATGATTCTCAACAATTCTCTAACTGATATCTCGTTTTTTTGGTGAAATGTAACTTCAAGTTATACGAAATCTTCAAATTGTTCAATTGTGATGCAACTGAACTGTTTGACAAGGATCATTCATCTTGAGAATATCTAATACCAGCTTGTTGGATACGAGTCGTAACATGGCTGTTAAGTCGTATATAACAGAATATCGCCAAGAAGGTACTGTTGGAAAGAAGAGTACAGGATCCGTATGTGTGTGGCGATTAAAACGTTTTGAAAATCAGAAGACACCCAATAATCGGGTTCATTTGAAAACGGAAGTTCGAAGATAAGAGGTGTGTACACATTTTGTCAGTAAATTGTGCCTTTCCTAGATTCGCTATCATTCCATCTGGTAAAAACGTCTTCGTTCATGTCACCAGTATAAAAAATTTGAGACGCTAATTAAACTGGAAATACATTAGTAGAAAATTGTGATCAGCTTCCAGATAAAAATTCACAATGTCATTGACTATCTTTTTAAGTTCTGCACTAAAATCTGTAGCATCACTGATAAATATCGGTTACGTAGTTTCAAAATTGTGTAACCTAACAATCTTCACAACTCTGTAATGCAATTTTACATGTGCTCATAAGTGACTAGCTTCGTGAGGAATCTTCTTCGAGTTCTAGCGGGAAGTAGTGACCAGTGAAGTTCAACCCTGTTCGGGTGTAGACAGTAACTACCGAAGACTGTGTATGAGGTTGTACAACTCCGTGAATTGATCAAGTTAGACATTAACACCGTTAGATACCGGCTCAGTGGTCCAGTGGTTAGACGTTTGCGCACAATACCGAAGGTTCTGGGTTCGAATCCTGCGGGGTGCAGGAGTCGTGGATGCGCACTGCTGAGGAGTCCCATACGATGACGAAACGGCCGTCCAGTGCTTCCAGGTTTCTAATGGTGGTCTAACATTGATCGATTCATGGTTTCAAAAATGTGTGGCGTTACTAACTGACATGAATAAGGACTTGAAGGAATAGTTCAGTAATGTTCACACTAAAGATAAATTATATTCAATTTTTATGTTAGGAAAGAATCTTGTGATTAATAGTAAATGTCACGAATTGTAGTCGTTCGTCACTAGCTTTTTTTAAGTAGGGATAACCAATCAGAAGTGATTCAACGAGAAGGTCAAGTGATGACAATCATAAGTCTCAAAGGACGAATGAATATCATTGGTGGATTCATTTTCTCAATCAAGTAGTAAGTTCAGGCGCGGGGTTAACATGTATCGTGTTCATATCTCAAACACCACACATTATAATAGTGTTATTTTCATAAAGGTAAAATGTTTTATCAACGATAATCAGTATTGATTATCTAAGCACTATTATTAACTACTTTTTACGACATTTATCTTATTTTGTTGGCGCAGTACGAAAATTGTTATTGCTAAGCAACGATGATGTTATTACCACTTAAACAAATAATTATTGGCATAAAAGGAGGGCGTCTAAATATTCATGCGCCATACAGATAATTGGATTCGATTAAATATGGGGTAGGATATAGCCTGGGTACTCGAATCGAAGCAGCTAATTTTTGTGGGTGATAATTCCCAAAACTTTTGACTTAAAGGTCTGGTCCACAAGGTACTACGGCAGCGTCAGAACAATCAGTCCTGTGATAATGGGTCATCAACAATAGATTCGTATTCCATTCGTCTTTTTTCAGGCATCCAGCAGCACACGTTCATCATTTGTTTGGAATAAAGGTTTCCCAACTACCCTGAAGAATCCTCTGTACTCACCATTAAACTCGTTGAACTTCCTATGGGATATTGGTTTTTTGTAAACATCATCTTCTGTATGAGAAGACAGTGAGTAGGAATTCTCTTTCAATGACTATACACTCATCATGGCCATTTGAGAGTATTTCGATAAAGAGAGCACACCATATTAGAGCATTTGTAGGCATCGAACATTGAAACGCGTATTGAAGTAACTTAACTCTGATAACTACATTCTTCGATGCAGTATCCATCATGTATAACTAACTACTTACTCTACAAAAGTACATTCATTGAATATAATTTACAAATGCAATATATATTTGTACTATGTGTAATATATGTTTATTTACCTAGCTAAATCTAATATATGAATAGTCGGTAGAATATTTTCACCATTCAAGTAAATTGGTAATTCATTTTGTGTTGACCATGCTTCCTAAAATGAATACAGAGAGAGAAAGAGAAAAACACAACCAAAAAAACTAAAAATCATTTTCATCAAAGAGTTATGAAGGCTGTTAAGATTTTATTGAAACACTGGATCAATCATTGGTAGACCAGTATTTGAAACCCCGAATCAATGGACTGCCGTTTCTTCCTAGTATGGCATTCATCAGAAGTTAACATCCACGACCTGAGCACGTGAGAGTCAAACCTAGGACCTTTGGTCTCGTGCGTGAATGCGAGATGCCGTCAGATGCCCGGCACAGGGGTCTGAAGTTTAAGCGTTCGAACGTGAGACCGAAGCCTTCGGGTTTGGTTCCTTTGAGCGTTGGTCGTGCACTACAGATGAGTACCAAAGTGGGGCGAAACGGCCATCCAGTGCTTCAGCGTTTCTAATGATGGTCTAACAATGACCGATTCATTACTTCAATGAAACAAATTAAATAATTTTAATTCATATTTGAATAAATTAAAATGCTTTTTGATATATAAGTCTTCTTAAAAATGTAAAACTAAGGAAATCATTTTGGCAAATTGTCGGGGATGTTAGATCCGCAGAACTCGCTTGATAAATGTCTTTATTTTGGATTTTATTCATCGGCTGGTCAGCTGACCTTGAGATCACATTTTCCATCAGGAAAAGCCTTGGCTGTGATTGATTACTGTGTTATTTTAGTGTGCTTTTTTGTGACACTCCTAAGGACGTTACCATGTTATATAAATAAACGCCATTTGTGTGCTTGGATTCGTTGTGCTGGCTGGGTGTTTTTAGAATACAATTTCTACGCTATATCAAGACTTCTTGTTGATTCAATTTGGTCAAGGGTTCATAGTAGCCTACTTGAACGCTTGTTCATTGTTTTGTTCTCGTTATTCGACTAAGGTGAACCCGTAAAAGTTTTAAGCATATCTAGAGACGAGTGCAACATAAAAATCAAATAATCTGATTTGTATTACTGTGCAAACTTTAAACTCATACTATAATGAACAAAGGTGTCAAGCACAAATGAAATAGTATGATATCTTTGAGAATGACACAATACACATAATCGTAGGACACAGTACAAGCAGATTATTGACTGTCTTCTCTCATATTTCTTCTGATCTTCAAAATACACTCATCATATAAAGTGTTATGATCTCCAGACACATCTGTCTCTCTCTCTCTCTGCTAACAATTTCTGAGCAATGCTCCACTGTATACTGTTCAGATGCCATCTTGAAAATAGTATTCACTGCAGTCCTTTGAACCTGTTAGAACTATTGACTACATTTAATTGAATAGTTTCACGATAATTCGCTACCGAACCTAATATTAGACACTATGGAGGAAAAGCTTCAACAATTAAAATTTCAGTTAGATTTGTTGTGGTTGCGATTTTTTTTAAGAAATAGTTTCCTACGGGTTGGGGAAGCTAACTCCATGCCTTAATGACTTAGGACCGGCAGTTTGCCTAGGAGTGCTCCAGGTGGACTTACTTATTTACTTACGCCTGTTACCCCCAATGGAGCATAGGCCGCCCACCAGTTTTCTCCAACCAACTCTGTCCTGGGCTTCCTTCTCCAGTTCTGTCCAATGTTTGTTCATTCCTCTCATATCTTTCTCTATTTCTCGGCGTAGTGTGTTCCTTGGCCTTCCTCTTTTCCTTTCACCTTGAGGGTTACATATGAGGGGTGGCTTGTGACGCAGTTCTGTGCTCTTTGCAGTGTGTGTCCTATCCACTTCCACCGCTTCTTCCTGATTTTATCCTCCACTGGAATCTGGTTTGTTCTCTCCCACAGTACATTATTGTTGCTCATAGTGCCTGGCCAACGAATCCTCAGTATTTTGCGTAGACAACTGTTCATCAATGCTTGTATCTTCTGGATGATGGCTTTCATAGTTCTCCATGTTTCCGCTCCATACAGTAGAACTGTCTTCACATTTGTATTGAAAATCCTGATTTTGGTTTTGGTTGAAAGTTGTTTGTAGTTCCAGATATTTCTCAACTGTAGAAATTACGTCCTTGCTTTGCCGATCCGCGCCCTCACATCTGTATCGGATCCAGCTCCAGGTGGAATTTAACTTTAATTAAATCCATGATAAATCAGAATGTGAACATAGATTTAGAGTTTATGTTAAATATGAGGGAGATGTTTTAAACATCAATGCTTAAGTTTACTGTCAAAATTCAAACGGTTCTATAAAACATCTTAAAACCTTATTTAACAAGAACATTATTGAACAAAAATCAAACATCTAAATCTTGCAGTGGTAGTAATTAGGATTTTTGAAGATCATGGTTAAGTATTTAGAAAGGCTATACATGGATGAAATGGTATCATCAATCATACGTCTTAATAGAATTTTCAATAGCCTATGGAATTTACAACATGAAAGACATCATCCAGAAGATACAAGTATTCATTAACAGTTGTCTACGCAAAATACTTCGGATTCGTTGGCTAGACACTATCAGCAACAACCTACTGTGGGAAAGAACAAACCAGATTTCAGCAGAGGAGGAAATCAGGAAGAAATGATGGAAGTGGATAGGACTTAAACTGCGAAAAGCAGCCAACTGTGTCACAAGACAAGCCCGCACTTGGAACCCTCAAGGTCAAAGGAAAAGAGGAAGGCCAAGGAACGCATTACGCCGAGAAATAGAGAAAGATATGAGAAAAAAATGTTTGACAGAACTGGAAAGGGAAGTCCAGGACAGTGTTGGTTGGAAAAAACTGGTCGGCGGCCTATGCGTCATTGGGAGTAAGTGTCCGAGGTTCGGATAAAGGAATAAGGTTGGGGATAGGGTTAGTTGTCCTATCCTGCAAAAAACAACCCTGCTAAAAATCACCTCCTCTTTAAATAGCGAGACAAGGTTCTAGGTTCTAGTGCACATAATGAGTAAGTAATGAGTAGCAATTCCTTGTCAGTGTCTTATACACCTGTGGCCATGCGAGTTCATTTGGGCTGAGAGAGCTAACTGAGTATTCCCGAAACGGTTTGAACTTAGATGCCAAATCTACGCCAATTCTTTCGATAGAATAACTTAAAACTTTTTTTGATGAAATTTATCCAAACTAACTGAATAATTTTAAATTTGCACAATTAATCAAGAGCATAAATTAAATATCATCTGTCATTGAATGACTGAACATTGATCAGAAATGAATTTAAACATAACATCAGGTACTTACTTTAAATAAATGTCGTAACATATATTCACCGCATCCATAGAACACTCCACATGCTAGCACATATGTTACAAATTTCTTTTTACGCTGTTAATTTAAATTAGAAATTAAACGGTTTATAGTTAGTATTGTGGTGTGAGCTACTCATAAGTAGTATATGACATGAGTGTCAACGTAATGTCTGGCAGCAGAAGATGGGGGGAAGATCAAGAAAGGAAGAGTTAGAACACAATGGAATTTGTATGAAACGCATGAATAGTGACAATGGATTGATGTTTTGCAACAGGAACAGTCCAGTTCGATATGATGGACTGATATTTTGCAAATTAACGATTTACGATATGGTTTTCCAATTTTACTGAGTCACTCTGTAATTTTCATGAAATACAATTCGGTTACCCCATCTGTGTTCTCGTTCACTACAGTATATTCAAACAATATTCTCTTACTGACTTATATGTACGATATGAATTTCACCGAAATTCACGTGAGTTGAGTGTTGTTTTAGATTAGAGAGATGTTAGGTGTATGTTGTTGAACAGTTCCAAATCGGAACAACTACTCATGGTTATTTGCATTTCAGTTGTCGAACTTATGTCATCTTGTGGCTGAATAAACCATCATACAGAATAAAAGGATTACATCTCACAAGGAACACAGCGTGGAGATTGTTGAGCTTCATTCACATCATGACCACTATTAGAAACCTGGAAACATTAGAAGGCCGTTTCGTCCTACTATGGAACTCATCAGAAGCGCACATCCATGGCCCTCAGCCTCTGGAGTTGAACCCCGCACCTGAGGTTTCGCGCGCGAACACTTGACCTGCAGGCCACTGAATCGACATCCAACAGTTCTGATGTTAAATTTCGATCAAACCACGGTCTCTCATGGCCATCTAGTGCTTTCAGGTCTCTTATTGTTGTCCAACTATAGTTGATCCATCTATGATACCAATTAGACTAAAAATAATAATAATAATAATAATCCTCATTTGAATCTTACGTTAACAGATGGTTGAGTTAGATTTATTCTGACATTCGCAAGAGATCATTTCGACTATACAATCGAAATAAAGATAGTATTAAATTACATATTCACTAGTAATTAAAACACAAATATGATATTTAAAAAATTGTTTCTTGGGTTTCGCTGTCAACTATCCTCAATACTTTATCGTAATTATTGCCAAAAAAGTGGATTCAGTGTAGGTACGAATAGGTCGAGACCAGAGGGCTTGCTTCAGCCTTTGGACAAATATAACTAACTCGTACTTTTCGAGTCTTTTGATCTTGTCAATTATTTACTTATAATCTTGGTTGTTCTTACTTGAATGAGCATGTTCATTACTCAAATTGCATATCACATGCCTAGATTATTTTTTTCCAGACTATGAAATACCTAGTCATGCCTTGTCACACTGAGCTGGCTAACTCTGTTATGCCTGCACGCAAACACGTCATTTTGATATGCTTAAACTATTAAGAGTTACCCTTAGTCGGAAAACGAGAGCGAGGATCGAGGATCCGGCGACACGACATGCTACTCAAATCCGATTATCCCAAGCCCCATAAAGAGAAAGAAATAGGAATACTTGATATGAAATAGAACCTGTATTCTACAAGCATCCAGAAGTACGAAGTCCGAGTCCAGAAGAGAATAAGGATCCCGGACTAGGGATACGGGACCGGGTACTGGTTATAAAACGTTACAGATAGTGCGTATATATACATTTTGATCAAATAGGAAACACCATCGAATTCTGTGACATTGACAGTTAAGACGACCAATAGGAAGCAACATTTGAAGTGACATTAACAGTCAGGACGACCAATAAGAAACAACATTGGAGCACGTGACATTGATATCTAGGACGACCATAAAATTGACCAGTAGGAATTAACCAATAGGAATTGACCAACAATTCTCTTAGGATATTGGATGAATATCCTAACACCAACTGGCCATCTTTATTTCGTTTCTCTTTGCTTTTACGCTTTGTACTCTCTCATATCTGCCTGCGTGAACAATAGCATGAAATAAGCTCATCCTACGGAGCTCGTATTCGGCTTCTTATTACCGCCCATCTCACAAACGGGGATTCGTTCGTCAAAGCATGATAATCAGAAATAGAAAAGTATACCACACAGTTGACCTTGAGTGGTCGATCAGCCAATCAGGAAACTCTGACTACTTGTAATCAAACAATGAACAGTCAAAAGCCGTAAAAATATCAGTGGAATTCTAGCTTTGATCTGAATGATCAATTCTCACATATCGAATAATTTATTCATTGTGATGAAAGGAAAACGTTATGTCAACATATTATTAGGAGTCTAGTTAGACCTATGAGTTGGGGTTATCACAGCCCATAGAGATTTCATCACAAACTGACACCAGCTATGGTGAGATCTGATTTTGATTTTATGCATGAAGGTCAGGGTTCACATCACGAAATGACATCAGATATGATGTAATGCTTACGCACATTATTTTTACAAATTGAAGGGACATATTGTTGATTTGCAGAACAAGAAAGGAAGAATAATATCGTGCTTTACCAAACACTTGACAACATTTTGATTCACAAGGATTTTAACATACGATTTCTCTTGAGAGTAGTTATGCTTGGTAATTTAGCTTGAGAAGCATCTTAAATTCACTTTTCGATTTCATGATAGAAATTCCTATTGATTTCAAAACATTTTAAGAACCATATTTTGTTGATTTCTACTTCTTTTTAATATTCACATCCCAATTATCGATCCCTTTGTTTGAAATTTCGCACAAAATAGGTTCAGAGGTTACCTTAATTCTGATTGGTAGGTTCAAGGTCGTTTTACTTACTGTATAGAGTTTATCAATAAAATCAATGTCCGACCAAATTATCAATTAAACTTTTTTTAATAAGCTCACCTTTTTACCCAATTTTAAAATTGATTTTTCACATTCTAAATATTCTTTAAACTTTGGATGTGGTCTACGACGTTTATATTCGGATTCGAGAAATCCTGGATCATCCTTTAAAAATTGTTAGGTTTTTATTTTCAAAATAATGTTTTAAATTAAACATAAATTATTAAAGTGTATAACCATAAATTTTAGTGATTCACTTCCTTTGGTAACGTGGAAGTACTGAACTGCCGTTTCGCCATTGTATAGGACTCCTCAGCAATGCACGTTCGTAACATCGTGCAGCGGAGACGAAACCAAGAAATTCGGTCTCACGTGCAAACTCTTGACCTCTTGACCAGTGAGTGAATCGGCATCCAGTGGTGTGAATATCTAACTTCAATCAATCCTTCATGATTTGCGTGCGGTAGGTGACTGTCCCCTACCTGACACACCTTGAACAGCACCGATCACACGCTTCTCAATAGTACTCTTTAAGCCAGTTACAAGTGAAAGCGATCTGTGGCGATTGCCTTATCTTAATAGTTGAAATCAATGATCTAGAGGTTAAGCATTTGCCCGCTATACCGAAGCTGTTTGGTTGGATTCTTTTGTCCGGAGGTCGTGAATGCACACTGTTGACCAATATCACACTAGAATAAAACATCTTGACTTCTTATCACATTAGTTATAATATAAACAGTTTATTTTCACAATAAACTATACAAAACAAGTTATAGATTTTAATTCGGTCTGATCACTTTGTGATGCAAGATATCAGTAATTAAAATTTATTCAGTTTGTCTTCAAATCTTTCAACGAACATTTGATTTAATTCAAAATTGACTTGGAGAATTCCGGTATAAAAAGCACATCGAAACCATGTCAATTTTGACAGCCTAACCTATGTACAGACAGATGTCGATTAACTTGTGAATATGGATTAAGAGGTTGGTATCTCTGTAGATTATTTACGAAAAGTGGTCATTAGCTTTATGAATGAATATTAGTTACAT